AGGAAAATATATTGTCCCTATTTCTTTGATGCTAAAACATGGTTACAAATCAAAAGTGGAAAATACAACTAGGCAGATAAAATTTGCATTTAATTTCTAATTTAGAAGCAACAATTTGGTCTTATTCTTTTATTCTTTTTTTTTAGCCTCAAGGATAGCACCATCTATTGTTATTTATTTTACTTGGCATTCAGGTAGCCACCTCATTCCTCCCACCTATTTCTGGAAAATAAAAAGGAAAACAAACCTTCAGTATGAATGATGAATTTTAATATCTGATTACTTGAGTGCACTGGCAAGGACAAGTTTTCATTTATTAGAAAATATAAGTGAACCTCTAAACACAACAATAGTTCTTATTATGTTTCAGGTACTGTTGTAAGCAATTCACATATATTAACTCATTTACTCCTCAAGGACCTCCTGAAGTGGGTGCTATTTATTTAACTATTGCATAGACTCTGAGAAGTTAAGCAATTTGCTGGAAGTCACTGGATTAAAACTCAGTGTCCATTCTGAAAACTGCTATGCAAAACTACAATGAGTACGTCTACTACTTGCAAACTACTATTAGATGACAGCACCTTTCCCCCTTTTTATCAACAATGCTTCTGACAGGTGAGGTTACCTTTAAGTAGGCAGCTGTGCCACTAACTGAGAGCCAACCTTCAAAACCTCTGAAAATAAATGCATTGTCATAAGAAATCCTAATTTTACTGACTACATAAATTTACTGAGAAGGCTTGTGTTGATTAATATGGATCTGAACCCTGAAAAGAAAATTCATCAGCATTAATAAGTGCTACACGCTTACGGATCAGTCTTCCTGGATATGTAACAAATTTGGCTTACGTACATATATCCTTAGTGGTCAAATCTTCATGCATAAAAATCTTATCACATTATGTGAGGGAGGTTGACAAGATGGAGGATAGGAGGTTGGGGGGAAAGTAAAAACCCATGATGTGAGCCAAGCCACTGTTTCAGAAGAAACAAATGCCTGTTTGTTTGTTTGTTTAATTCCACCACTCAGATGGTTTATTTTTGCAATAACTACATGACTGGGGTGGGGATGTGATACCTTTTTGTAATTCAAACAAAGTTGCCACATTGGTAGGAGCTACCTAGCAAGTTTGATTTTCAAATAAAAATTTCTGACCTCAATTTAAATAATTAAATAGAAAGAAAATGGAAAATGCAATTATAAATTTATGATGAGATAAAGCTTAATACAATCTAATTTCAGAAAATATCCTAATTTCTACATAGAGCTACAAAGTGTAAAAATGTTTAACAATTCATTAAACTGCCAGAGGAAATTTCAGCAAACATTTCATTTTTAAATCAAACCCAAGTTTTAAGGTACTGTTCATCTAAACTGTTCAGGATAAGGTTTGGCCTCCAGAGGTTATGGATAAGAAGTATGAATGGGAAAGACTACTTTAGCTACAAATCGTTTCCACCACTATCAGAAAGTTAGAACTATTAGAGATTTGGGTTACATTTCCAATAGCCCTTCAGAAGAACTCAGGGACTGAGTACTAGTTAAATCTTCAAGGTATAAGCAAAATTGTAAATAATTAAATGAACCAATAGTAAACACTTCTGCAGTCCTATGACTTTCTGAAAATTTGAATTTGCTTCAGAGTTAATCTTCACTGAAACTCTTTGTAAGCAGTCATTATCGTAAGGTTTTTCTAAAGTCTCTTTTATCTGTGTAATATGGTGGCAGTGGTAAGGTCAACTTTATAGTAGTGTTGGGGTATTGGTCTAAAGAAATTCTGGATTTGCCAAATTCAGATTTTTGGCAAACGAGTTGGCAGAAGAGAACCATTTAAAAATGTATTGAAACCATTTTGGGAAATATAAATAAAGATATTCTAAGTACAAATTTATGGAAGGTTTTAAAGAGATGAGGTGATCATTTAGCAAACTTCCAAAGAGAATATAAAAGAATTAGTATATTCATTGAAAATTATCAATAAATCTTACAAGGTTTCACATGATTCTAAGGAGTAAAATCCCAGTAGTAATCAAGTTTATCACATTGAGAAATCTAGAAAGGTAATCTGATACATACGATGAAACAAGTTGGTTCAAGAACAGAATATTTGAGATGGTTTTTAAAACATAAAAATCATTGAGGAGTACTTCTGCATTCATGATGGAGTCTTTATTCTTCATGGATTCTATGGATGATAATGATTGATTCTAGCTTGCAAGAATAGATAATAAGACATAAGAAACTTAAAAAAATACTCTTTGGATGATTTGGGCAGTGGAATGAACTGGAAAAAAACCTAAATTAAAAATAGGACTAATTTTTAGGCAACATCTTGTCATTTTCAAGGGTCAGAACTATCTTAAAGATAAAAATAAGAGAGGTAATACATCTAACTTAGAAAAAAAGGAAAATGAAATCTGAATTGGAAAAAAAAAAGCTCTAGCAGTAAGAAACTAAGAATGAATGGGAAGTTAGACTATATGAAGATGTGAAGATGCAGTATCTAAGATTTTTATTTTAATAATAGAGAATATAATCTTTTGAATAAACAGAAGTGAATAATTATGTTGCTGAGATGGCTAAAGTGTTTATCTGAAAAGATGAATCTTGGATGTCACCTACCTAAATATGATACACACGCCTGAATGCAGGGAAGATAGGACCCTGGGAAATAAGACAAGATTAAAGGAGGAGGTTAAAGACTATCTTCAGAGATATAATATGATGAAATAAAATTTTAAGTACTCCACTCATCTAAGATAAAAAATAATGAGATGAGAATAAAACTAGGAGTTTCTGACTTGAGGGGCTAGGAAATTAATATAGGAAGTGAAGAAGATCTCTATGATTTCTAGCACCATTAACGTCACAAAGTGAAAGAAAGAGTGTATATCCTGATGAAAAAGATCACTAGGTTTCTTTAAATTATAGATTCAATTTAACCCTCTCCCCCAAGTCATCATTAAAGTAACTTATTCAACGTCATAAGAAATTGTATACCCTTCTTTCAATAGCTTTAAGAAATATCTTTTAAGACTATAAATTTTAATACTTAAACATATGACCAGTCAATATAAAATATTTTCTTTAAATATGCTTCAAATTGACCCAGTTATCCATATATCTCTAAGTTCTAAGTTGATGAAAGTCTTGAGAATAAACTAAAAAGGAAGCAAATAAACAGCAGTGCTATACAATGTGATTGTCCTTAAAGCAACAAATTTTATCCATTTAAAGCAGTTTTTTAGTTATATACCTTACCATCTTTACATAAATTTGCATTACAATACCAAAAAATAGTAGTTGTAGATATTTTATTCATCCTCATAATAAGGAAACAGTGTATCATTAAAATCCTATGATCTCATTCTATGTTTAAAAATTTAGTCTATAGTTGCCGTAATCATTAGATGCAAGATATTTCTAACAATTAATTCCATTGAGAAGGACAGTTTTCCTTCTAGGAACATACCATACATTTTCTATGAATGGGCTCATTTAAAAAATAAAGAAAATTGGTCACTCTGGAACTAAATTAGTTCCTAAACTTTGGAGGCATTTGTAAGTAATTTGTTCTTTATGATTTGAAAGTAATGTCAAAAAGTTATAAGTACTCGTATTTAAATAAGTTTTCATAAACTAAACATTAAAACTAAATTGAAAAAGAGAAGACGAGATAAATTGTCTAAATAAGTGTATTCTAGCAATTAAAATGAATAAAAACAAAATAAAAGAAGACACTTGTTTTAATATATTTTCTTCATATTTAAAGGAATATTCCCACTCTTCTTACTAGTCAAGCAAAAGTTATATAGATAATGTAAAATCCTCACCAGTTGATAGTCACTACACTGTTGCCCCAAATAACATAAAACACTCAATTAATTTTATATTAAAACATAAATCCCTGAATCAAATTCAATTTGGGCACTGTTTATTCTAACTTCTTTATATAAATAAGATGAAACTTATGGAGTAAAAATAATTAAGGGTACCAGAAACTGAGTATTTTTTAATCACAGCCATAATTATTAACTTATCTGTTTCTCAGTAGCACAAAATGTAACAAAAAGCTGACAGAAACATGCTGAAAAACAAACTAATTATTCCAGTTTGGGAGTGAAAATAACTTAAGTTCATACAAATGCCTCCTTCCCAGGTAATACCATATTTCCCACTGGCATTGTAGTAGCCTCTTGCTCTCTACAACTGTTGCATTTAGTCATTTTACTGCAGTCAAATTAATTCTAATCACACCCACACAATAACCCCGAAACACAGAAAACGAGAGAGAGCAAGAGTGAAAGTGATAGACAGGAGGTGGGGGCAGGAGGGAGGAACAAAGAATAAGAAAAAATTGACTATAAACAATATATTAGATTAAGGAAACTTCATTTCAAATGATATTCTTCATCTAAATGATGCCCATGAAGCATTGTTAACCACAAGCACATACACAGAAAAAAATCCTGATATATATAAAAGTATCTTTTCTCCTAGATCTTTAAATATCTAATATTATTCGGATAAGTCTTTCAGATATTAAGATTAGATATGATTTTTTTCCAAGTACACAGGTTGCCTTAAGTATGTATTAGACAGTATACTCTTACTCCACCAAGACTGTGAAATTGCTTTATACCTAAGACAATGTGGAACTCTATGATGCTTAGCAGACTATATAGCCACATAATTGCCCATTTTCACTGCTTCCAATGAGGCCTGACAGCTCACAAGTTTATAGCAGTAGCAGATGACTAGAAAAAAAAGTTTCCCATTTTCTAACTTCCTTTCAGAAAAAATTTCCTGAAAATTTAGGATTTAAAAAAAGCAGCTTATGAATAATGGAACATACTGCTTCACTCAACCAGGTTTTATATCCTTGCAATATTCCTATCACGTGGAACAGGTTCAGAAGTTGCAATAAAGCAAAGCATTTAAGAACTTCTTAAAGTAATCAGAACAGTAATAAATATGAAAAATCATTTCTAATTACCTCTGTTGAGTGACGCTGAACTGTTTATATCTCCAGTAATAAAGGAAGACTCTGATTGCTTTCGGACCGTGTCATTCCACATTCTACGAATTCGACTCTGGGTGGGGGAAAAAGAAAAAAGGAAATGAACTCATGAGGCAAAGAGTTTTCACACAAATCATTCTTTTTCTTTTGTGCCACAGTTATATGAGACTTTTGTTTCTAGCATCTGGCAAATAACAATTTCTATATGCTTGCAGAACAGTAGCACGAGAACATCAGAAACAACATTAATGATAACACATGGGTCTCATTAAGTGCATTCTTAAAAGCCCATACCAAAGACAATTATAACCAGTAAAAAGGAATAAGTGTAAAGTACTGTCCCAATTTAAATATGTTGAAGATATACAGAAGTGCACTCTAGACAGTTAGAATAAGAAAATTTTAATTTCCAAAGTAAAACAAATTATTTTCACTGTAGCTTTTATTGAAATGGAATGTTTAAATATGCATTAAATTGTCAGTTTTATTAACAAAAGATTTAGTTTAAAAAAAATCAGAAGCTTGCAAAAGAGAGTTTGCTAATAAAAAACCCAGAATATTATTAAAATGCTATGGAAAAAGTTATTTTCCATAACTTTTATAAGAAGACCAATGGAATTGTAGAGATTACATACAATCCTGATTTTCTTTAGAAAGAAATAAAGGCAGTTGATTCACTTCTCTTCATTGCTTCAGTAGGAAGTTTTACCGATAACTGAAATTCTTACATTATTATTTCCATTCTTAACTTCAAATATCAAAGTATCAGATAATTCAAGGAAACAATTTATTTTTTCATTTTGGGGGAATTTTTTTCCTGTTTTATTCTGTGATGGCATTTTATTCAATTAGGGATCAAAAAAGTATCAGCAAGAAGTTTGTCTAAGAATAAAACAGTTATAAGAAATCTTACTAATTATGAAAGCATGATAAAATTGGTTATGTTCTGAATGTATTTGAACTCCTTGATAATAGGAGTAGCCAATTTTAGATATTGAACAATTGATTTTATGGATCTTAGAACATGGTTTTGCTTCAAAAATATTGTTATATCACATTGTTCCCAGGTCAACAAACACACACACACACACACACACACACACACACATACACACACACACACACACACAGTAAACAAAAAGATAAACTGGGAACAAGACTCTCAGGTTTGTTTTATTGATTAGTTGATTAATTAATTAATATTAATTTCCCTCTACTGGCTGCCAAATACTAACCTATGAGTTACTAAGGTAAAGCACAAATACACAATGTCCTGGGCTTCGTGGAGCTGCTAGACTAGTAAGTGACAGATTAAACGAAGTATCACAAAAATAAATGCAAAAGTACAATGCACCTGCAAATCTCCACAAAAACATTAAGTAATATAGCTGAAAACTACAATCAACCCAAATGACTATCAACAGTAGGTTGGATGAGTAAGTCATAGAATAACACACAACACTGAAAATAAAAAGTCAACATAGTCTTCAGTAACATGCATGCTTGGGAGAAAGAAGGAAAACATAAAAAGAATATGTGCTGAATGATTTCAGGTAAATAAGTATCACACACAAGCAAAACAAAATATACTGTTAAAAGCTAACACAAGCCGGGCTCGGTGGCTCAGCCTGTAATCCCGTGCCTTTGGGAGGCTGAGATGAGTGGATTGCCTGAGCCCGCGGGTTCGAGACTCGCCTGGGCAGAGAGACCTCATCTCTACAATAAATCAAAAAATCAGCCGGGCGTGATAGCGCATGCCTGTAATTCCGGCTACTCGGAAGGCTGAGGCGGGAGGATCGCTGGAGCCCAGCAGGCCGAGGCTGCGGTGGCCGG